TTGTAAGAAATTCAAGGCAATGCAATATGATGACAAATGGAACACCGTGCGTCGCCTAGAGTTATGTCTTAAGAAGCACAATCCGAAATTTTGCAAAGAACGTAAGGAATGTGGTGTAAGTAATTGCACTGCAAAGCACCATTATTTGCTGCACAGGCCGATTGAAAATAAAGAAATTGTTAAGGGCGACGATAACTTGATTGCCATGCATGTCCAGAGTACATCAAACGTACTGTACAGAGTGGTGCCAATTACAATTCATAGTAGGCACGCAGCTATTGATGTATATGCGTTATTGGATGATGGATCTGGGCCAACAATAATTGAAAACGACGTATTAAAGCTTTTACAGCGTCAAGGTGAAAAACGTCAGCTACGCCTTCGTTGGACGGATGGTTCTCTTAGGGTTGAAAATGAATCCCAAATGATCAACCTACAAGTATCTGCCAAGGACAAAAATAAAATTTTTATGCTTCGGGACGTTCGTACAGTTAACAAATTAGACCTTCCTGAACAAACCTTAATTATGACAGAGCTGGCTGACAAATATAAGGATCTTAAGGGTTTGCCGGTCGAGTCCTATCACGGTGTAGTCCCCCAGATAATTATCGGGTTAAATAACAAGCATGTGGCAATGCCACTAAAGTTCAGGGAGGGAAAAAGTGATGGACCCGCTGCAACGTAAAACACGGCTGGGCTAGACAGTTTACGGTGTGGTGAAAACTCATGATGATAAGAACACCGACAACTTTCAGCTACATATTTGTGAATGTGATAACGACATCGCCCTCGATAAACTTATGTTAGAACACATGAAGCTGGAAAATGCTGGATTAGAGAAGATATGTGTAAGCGATGGTAAAAGAGATGTGCTTGCAAAATTCGTTGAGCGCACTGGCGACCATTTTAAAACCAGGCTGATTTGGCCCAGCGATAATATAACCTTGCCAAACAATTTTGAATCTGCCTTGCGCAGACTTGTTGGGTTTGCGAAAAAGCTAAGTAAAAACATCGAGATGAAAGATAAGATTAATGCGCTCATACATAGTATGGAACAAAAAGGGTACATTCGAAAGCTCGATGAAGTTGAAATTAATCAAGAGTATAAACGCAAGTGGTATTTACCTATCTTTTCCGTAAGCAACCCTAACAAGCCAAGTAAGATACGGGTGGTTTGGGACGCAGCAGCTATGCATCAAGGAATATCCCTCAACGTGTGCCTCGAAAAGGGGCCTGACCTGTTGCGGCCATTGATTGACGTTTTGTAAAACTTTAGAATCGGGAAGATTGGCATCTGTGGTGACATATGCGATATGTTCCACAGAATAAGGGTTCATAATGACGATCAGCATGCGCAGCGCTTTCTCTGGCGCGATTGTGACACTAGTCGATCGCCAAGCACTTACGTACTCCAAGTGTTGTCATTCGGCGCAAGTTGTTCTCCTGCAATCGCACAATACGTAAGGAACAAAAATGCAGAAGACTTCGCCAAAGAGTATCCGAGAGCGGTAAAATCGATAACAGAAAGGCATTACGTGGATGATATGCTAGACAGTGTCGATACGGAACAGGAAGCAATAGAATTGGTAAAGCACGTTGTCGAAGTTCACAAGCGGGGCAACTTTCATATCAGGGGATGGCTGACCAATTCGTCTCAGGTTGCTAACGCCATAGGTGACAAAGGTTCGGGTGATGAATTTTGTAACTCGGGAAGAACCCTTGACCAGGTGATAGAGCCAGAAAAGGTTCTCGGCCTATGGTGGCGAACGAGTTCTGATACGTTCACGTTTGACACTAAGTATACTAAAGCCAGCAAAGAGATTTTGCGTGGTCACAAGATACCCACCAAGAGAGAAATTCTACGGCTACTCATGTCAGTTTATGACCCCTTAGGTTTCCTATCGTTTTACACTATACAACTAAAAATCTTCCTACAGGATATCTGGCGAAGTGGTGTCGAATGGGATGATGCGATTCCTAAAGAGTGCGAAGGGGCGTGGCGTCGGTGGTTGTCAATTTTCCAGCATGTAAAAGAGGTCCAGGTTCCTAGATGCTATTTTGGCAAACTATCTAACAAAAAATATAAAATAGAACTCCATACCTTCGTAGACGCCAGCGAGGTAGCAAGTGCAGCCGTGTCATATTTTAGAATAACAAACGAGGAAAATATTCAGGTCGCTTACGTAGCGTCAAGGGCCAAAGTTGCCCCACTCCGACCTATATCTATACCACGAATGGAACTACTTGCTGCAGTATTGGGAGCCCGCCTCGCCAATGCCATAGTTAAAGGTCATGAACTCACCATTCACGATATGTATTTTTATACAGATTCACGCACAGTGCTGGCATGGTTGCACTCTGACCCTCGAAAGTTTAAACACTTCGTCATGTTTAGAGTCGCAGAGATTCAAAAAACTACACACGTAACAAGATGGAGTTATGTTCCCTCAAAGATGAACGTAGCGGATGCGGCCACGAAGTGGAAGAACACAATCGAGTTTGGTCCGACAAGCACCTGATTTTCTGGTCCAGGATATTTGCATTCACCGCGTGGGCAGTGGCCTATATATTATCATAAATCTAGTGTGACGCCCTCTAAAGATATGGAACTAAATCCGGAAGCAGAACATTTTAACGTACATACAGAGTTCCGCCCCATAATAGATCCAACAAGATTCTCAAAATGGGAACGACTTGAACGAAGTATGGCGTATGTGAAACATTTCATCGACAAATGCAAACCTGAAGCAACGAGGAAAAAGTTTGATCATGAGCAAGGAAGGTCTGAAGGACTGACCGCTGAGGAGTTGCAATGGGGCCAACGTTGGCTCTACCGTCTTGCACAAGCCGATTCATATTCTCAAGAAATCAAGATGCTTATGAAGAATTCGGACAGTGTCTTGCCAAAGCTAAGCGTTTTGCGGAAGCTGTCACCATTTATTGATAACGATGGGGTTTTGCGTCAAAGGGGCCGCTTAGAATACGCTCCTATTAAAGATTCTATAAAGAATCCAACAATATTGCCAAAAAATCACAAAATAACACAACTGCTTATCAACTGGTATCATCGCAAGTACAAACTCGTCCATCACGATGCTGTTGTTAACGAGATATATCAAAAGTCTCACATACCAAGCTTACGTCGTGCCCTGCGAACAGTTCGCTATGACTGTCAGCACTGCAAGTTGCGTAAGGCCAAGCCACTGCCACCGTAGATGGGTTCACTTCCTGAAGCACGCCTGGCACCCTACACAGGACCGTTTTCTTACGTGGGAATTGACTTTTTTGGGCCATTCCTGGTTACAATCGGACGGCGTGCTGAAAAACGATATGCTGTTTTATTCACCTGCATGACATGTCGAGCCATTCACGTTGAAATAGCACATTCGCTATCCATGAATTCCTGTGTAATAGTTGTTAGGAATTTCATAAGCCAGAGAGGAACGCCGGTGCATATGTTCAGCGACAATGGAACAAATTTTGTTGCTACAGAGAAAGAGTTACGAGAGGCTTTTCGCCAACTTGATATTGGCGCTCTTCAAATGCAATTCACGTGTGTTGGAACTAAGTGGACGTTTATTCCTCCTGCTAGTTCACACATGGGAGGAGCGTGGGAGCGAATGATTCGCACATTTAAAGATGTCCTATATCAAATACTGACCCCAGAAACCAAACTTAGTGACGAGAAATTGTACAACCTATTCGTAGAGGTTGAGAGCATTATGAACAGTAGACGACTCACGTACCTATCATTGGAGACCGCAGAACAGGAAGCGTTGACTCCGAACCACTTCCTGTTGGGAAGTTCGTCGGGACTTAAGCCGCCAGGTCTGTTTTCCTCCTCAGACCAGTACGTGAGACGGTCTTGGCGCCATTCACAGTACCTAGCCGATTTGGAAAAGGTGGGTAACAGAGGTGCTACCAACGTTAACCAGAAGAGCAAAGTGGTATGACGACGTTAAACCAATTAGAAAAGGTGACGTTGTGATCATAGTAGATCCCAACCTACCCCGTTACACGTGGCCGAAAGGCAGGGTCGTGTACACATTCACAGGGAAAGATGGCCAAGTAAGAAGCGCTTTAGTACGTACCGCAACCGGCGAGTATCACCGTCCTGCTGCAAAACTAGCAGTACTGGATGTAATCGGGGAGAGAAGCGGCGATGATGCACCTGTTAAGGTATTAACTCACCCATATCGTTATACCGGGGGGGAGAATGTTGCAACACCGCCCGGTAACACACCACAACTGACGTAACAATATGGCAGCACAGGAAAGATGCAACTCTGCCAAACAAAGAAATATACAAATGCGAACATTCTTTGATTTTCTTTTATTCTTAGATGATATTCTTAGAAGTTTTTAAGCGAACGTCATTTTTGAATTCGCAAACGAACGTTATTCGTACTCTCTTTTATTTTTGCAAGCGAATCTAGTTGGTCAACCAAAGTAAGTTTCTGAAACGATGTAAATGAATTATATGTATTAACTTGGATTTTAATTTCAATAAATTGTTTTTTAAAGCTGCTGTAACTGCTCAAATTAAAAGAGTGCAACACGATTGTTTTAACTGGGCGGACAGCAGCTGTTAACGTTGGTGAACCAACAATATGCTTTTTGTTAAGATGTATACCTAAAAATGTGTGCATACGTATTTGCGTTAAATGCAGTACATCTGCACGTGGAATCAATTTGTAAAAGTGTAAAATACGTAAACGTATGTACATAAAAAATAAAACTTTCTCATGAATACCATAAAATCATTGGTCTTGAAGGGAATGTACTAAGAAAATATATGAGCGAATTAAAAAGTGTATACAATTTATAGCCGAAAACTAACACAAACACAAAGTTGCAAGAAAAAAGTTGAACGAGCTCAAAGTTGGCTGGCGACCAACTTTGTTGAAAGCGATTAGTTGAAAAGCCGCTCGGACGATGCGAATTTTGCTTTCAACTAAAAGTTACCTGAAAAATCGGCTCGTGCGAAAGCCCTATAAAAGCCCGTCCACATACAACTTTGGCGTTGCGTTGGCACTGGCGTCGCTTTGACAGCAGCGCGAGTAATGCCCGTGCTTGTTACAATGAACGCTTAGCAGGGAATACTTTGATCACTAAATTAACATACTAGCGGCAGATAAATCAAAATTGTATATTAGTAATTGCATTAAAAACTATGGCCCGTAGTCATAGTCAAAATAAAGTCGACTTTAAAGTTAGTTGCAGCTTTTTGACATAATTTTCAATGGGATATCTGTCCAAAAAGCTGCAACTAACTTTAAAGTCGACTTTATTTTGACTATGACTACGGGCCAATACTTATTGTCCGCATTTGATTAAAAAGGAAAGTTAAATCACATAATTTTGATTATTTGGAACAGCTGACAAGCGATGCGGGCAAAAAATTGCGAATTGGCCATCTTTCTGCGGTGTGTTGGCGTTGGCGTTGCCCAACTTTGGTTATGTGGAGACTCTCTTATAAATGCATGTATTCATAGTCGGCTGACGAAGCGACGACAACGCAACGCCGAAGTTGTATGTAAACGGGCCTTAATTGTGCGTTTCAACGGTGGAGAAAAAATGTGTAGTAGTTAAATAATGTGGCGAATTCTGCGGCAACACAAAGCGAACAACGAGAAATAGGCAGAATGTTCGAAGAATGACGTAGAATGTTCCACAAAGAGAAACGTCAAGTTGGATGAAGAAAGCGAGAGAAAGAGAATGAGCGATAAACTTCAGAATGTTCCAGAGTTGCCATAAGTGCCAGCGCAGGTATATAAGGGCGCCGCCACCGCGAGGTGAGTGAGTTACAAGTCAGCAAGCTACAAGTAAAGTGAGCAGAGAAGCGAGTTGCGAATAAGCAAGCTATAAGTTTAATTGTGTGTAACAAGTTCAGTAAAGCGTTGTAATTGCTTTAACAAGTATTGTAGTGTTTTTACTGTATTAGCAAGTATTGTAAAATTGTTTGTTGTACAATAAAGTTAATTGTACTACAATTTGGTCATCGATTGCCTTTATTTAACAATCCACCGATACGAGCCGAGAGATTTGGGAAANTTCTCCTCTCCTTCCATATTTTATCCCTGTAAAATAGATAACAATATCAAGAATGATAGAATACAAGATTGCGCCGTCCTGGGCGTTGACATTTGTGTACCACAAGTAAACAAAGAATAGAGCGAAAAGAAGACCGAGTTGAAACTGCCAAAGCGGTTCACTTTACTGCGAAAAACGTGTTTTAATTTTGCTAAATGCGAAAATATTGCATTTGTCTTCTAATCTATTAGAGAACAGTGAACATTTTAGTGCACTCCATTGCTTTGCAATTGAGCCTGCTTCAGCAAATATTTTAGTGCACTTTATTGCTTTGCAATTAAGGCTGCTGCAGAAAACTGCAGCAGCATCTCTGCGGGACTGATTAGTTAACTTGCTAATGGAGGCTGCGTGGAGCAGAAACAAAATCATTGTGAGGAAATGCTGTTAATATAATAATAGAGAAACATTTCGGGAATGGCTTTGCCGTGCCATATGTACACAAAATGCAGCGATTCGTCCCAGTGCTGAACTTGCATCTACGCTTCTTGCATCTTGGCGGCTGTCGCACTTTAACACACAGCACTTCATTGTGTTAGTTTTTACGCAGTCTTCAACTCAAAAATCGCTCACAAATTGCAAATTAACACAATTTAAACTGATTTTTCACTAATAATTCATATTTCTCTTTCACTGATTTGTAAACAAAGGTTTATTTACAAGTTACCACAACTGTCAAAATCGGCAAAACCAAAGTAGCGGTACCACTGACGGCGCCACCTTTGTTCGCTGCACCGTGCAAATCCGGACGAGGTTTCAAGGATAATCGTAACAATTGGTGTCAGAAGGGGGATTGTTAAATAAATCCCGAAGGAGAAACCACTAAAAATGGCGAAAATTCAGGACTTAAAAATTGAGGAGCTGAAACAGGAGTTGGAAAAGCGTAATTTGGCCACCTCCGGAAGAAAAGTGGAATTGTTATCCCGATTGCGAGAGGCTATGGAAGCTGAAGGCATCGACGTGGACAAATACGACTTCCAAGGTAAACCCGACGATACATCCGCAAAGGACGAACAGAAGGATGAGGCTGCATGTTCGTCGAAGGATGTGCAACAGACATCCGGGAAGGTTGAAGAACAGCAAAAGGCTCCTTCGTCATCAACAGTTATGGACATGAACACGTTATTGGCTGCCATGTCACAGATGTCATCACAGCTGTCATCCCAGATGCAAACGCTGGAGACATCCCGGTTAGAAACTCAGCTACTGGCACAAGAGACACGTATATCATCCCAGCTGGAAGCACAGGATGCAAAAATTACACAAATACAGGACAAAATCGAAGAGAGACAGGAGAAAGTCGAGACAAAGGTAGAAAAGTTGGAAGGTCGTCTTCGTGATTTACAGTTGAATCGTCCAGCTACTTCGACGAGCGCACCCAAGGTAAAAACCCCATCCTTTGACGGCACGATTCCTTTCCAGGTCTTTAAGCTCCAGTTCGAAAAAACGGCTGCAGCAAATCATTGGAGCATGGAGGATAAATCCGCTGCACTATTCGTTGCATTGAAAGGACCTGCGGCAGAAATCTTGCAGACTATTCCCGACTGTGAAAGGTACAGTTACGATGCGTTAATGGGTGCAGTGGAAAGACGTTATGGTAGCGAGCACCGGAGACAGATTTACCAGATGGAACTGGAGAATCGCTGCCAGAAATCCAACGAGACTTTACAGGAATTCGCCTCTGAGGTTGAAAGGTTGGCTCATTTGGCAATTGGAGATGCATCTGGTGAGCACCTCGAAAGAGTAAAAATCCAGAGGTTCATCAACGGAATGCGGGACGTGTATACCGAGAGAGACGTACGCGAATCCCAAGCCAACATTTGCTGAAACTGTCTCGTATGCTCAGACGCGTGAAACGGCGGCGCTCCTAAGTAGACCAGCCTACAAAGCACATCGCGTGGAAGTGGAGACACCGGACGAGACAAAGGAAATGCTGAAGAAGCTAATCCAACTGCTGGGTGAGAAAAAGCATGGCTCTGGCAAATGTTTTAAATGTGGAAAGCCAGGCCACTTCGCCCGTGATTGCAGCGCAAGCTCCAGTGCGCTCAACAATTCAGCAGGACGCAAACGCAGGACTGAAGGCGACGAATCCAACTCCAATCAGTCGTTAAACTAAAACGAGCCAGCAGCAAGGGCGCGCGCTGGCTCCCGCAATTTAATGCCCCATAATCTCCGTCTCGCGAATTGGCAGAAAGGCGAGCAACGTTACTGTTGGTGGATATGTGGACGGACATGAGCGAGTACTAACTGTGGATACGGGCGCATCACATTCCATCATTCGATCTGATTTGGTCACTAAAGAGGTAAGGCCATTACCTGGAGCAAGGTTGAGGACAGCAACTGGTGAGGACACCCAAGTTGTAGGAGAGGTAACATGCAAAGTCGCAATAGGGAATGTGACGGTGTTACACAATTTCATAGTCGCGACGATTATGGATGAAGTCATCATTGGATTAGACTTCTTGCTTGATCAAGGTATGCAGATCAACATGAAGAACAGGACTATGACGTATAACAACATGGAAGTGCCCTTTCGGTGAGGGTATGATGGTCCATACAGTAGCAAGCGAGTGATCCTAGAGGAAAGCGAGCAGATTCCACCGAAGTCAGAAGCAGTTGTGTGGGCAAAGATTGATGGAGATTGTGGGACAAACAAATTGTGGGTTGGTGAAGCAACACAAAATTCTACACCGGACGTACTTATTGGTAAAACCTTGGCTAAGACGCAAAAGGATGGACGCATCCCAGTTCGAGTGCTCAATGAGTTGAAATCACCAGTCAAACTCCGAAGAGGAACTGTACTGGGGCAATGTCGAGAGGTAGAGGCAATCTTCAACTGCGAAAAGTTACCTGAAAGCGATTCCATTGGCGAGAATGACATTGCGGAAGACATTAATGCATGGACGGAAGGGTTGGAAGAAAAATACCAGCACAAGGCTAAGGAACTTCTCCGAAGATACTGCAACATATTCGACAAGGATGGCGACAAACCAGGCAGGACTAACGTTGTGAAACATCGCATTGATACTGGCGATGCAAGGCCAATCCGTCAAGCTCCTCGGAGTGTTCCACTTGCCAAACGTGAAACTGTTAGCCAAATAATAAACGAAATGAGCGAGAGTGGTGTGATTGAACCATCAGCGAGTCCATGGAGTTCGCCGGTAGTACTTGTGAAGAAGAAGGATGGTCAAATGCGGTTCTGCGTAGACTACCGGAAACTAAACGATGTGACGAAAAAGGACAGCTATCCTCTTCCCAGGATCGATGACACTCTGGACTCGTTGACTGGAACAAAGTGGTTCTCAACACTCGACCTTAAGA